AACCTAAACTTTTTATATTCTCTAGGTTAGAAAAAAAAAAAAGCAGTATTTTTTTAAATACTCTAATGCAACAACTTTATCATAATTTAATAAGTGCAACATGTTGGAGAAGAGACTCTCATTAATGACTGTTTACACTAGTGTTAAGTGTCTCGGGGTGGCTGGATTTTCCACATACATAGTTGAAATTTAAAAAAATTAATAAAAGACTAAACATATGGAATTTTCTTAGTAAAATATAAGCAAGCTTCTTTTTGTCTTAGAGGTACCTGCAAAATGTGACTTCCCAAATGTGCTTCAAATACTTCAATGGCCAGTGCACTGGGGCTTCTCCTTCGTTGTGCACCTATAACTTAGAGAAAAAAAAAGGAAAGAAAAAAAGAAAAGAAAAAGGGGAAAAAAAGAAACAGAGAGGAAGAAAAGAAAGAAAATAATTAAGTTGGAGCTCAGATTCATACCTTCAACTTAATTTTCTTTAATTACGTCACTAGTTACTATAACAATGACATCTCAGAGAAACACAGCCCAGTGTTAACTTGGCCCGGAGTTGCCTGAGCATAAGCAGAACCAAGGTTGAATTTCCAAGTCAGATAACAACAAACCACACCCAGACTTTTTTTTAAAAAAATTACCTTGGACTGTTTTCCCTATATTGAAGCAAAAACATGAATGCTCACATTCCATTAAGATAATTTAGTACTTTTTTTCTTAAAATTTAGGTATTTTTGAAGTACACACATACTGCCCCCCCCCAATAAAACCTAAACTTTTTATATTCTCTAGGCTAGAAAAAAAAATAAGTAGGATATTTTTAAATGCTCTAATGCAACAACTTTATCATAATTTAATAAGCGCAACATGTTGGAGAAGAGACTCTCATTAATGACTATTTACACTAGTGTTAAGTGTCTCGGGGTGGCTGGATTTTTCTGTTTACTGCACATTCGCATGTAACTATTCCTACACGATCTTGGAGAAGCACAGGTGGCCTTGCACTCAGCATGTGTCACACCAGCACAGGGACTGTGCTCTCGTGGGAATACTCCTGTTCTCCACTCACATGGTCAGTCCTACTCTTCCTGGCGTGCCCCACATGTGTTGCCCACAGGCACCTGCACTCAAAGAGCCCCCTATCCTTAACAAAAGTGAGCTTGCTGCCAGGGATCTGTGGGATCCACAATTGAGGGTTTTCTCTGTACATAATTTTTTGTATGGGCACACAATTTGATTTTAAGTCTGTTCTGGGTATCCTTATCTACACTAATAAAATATAAAGATGCAAATTAACCGTACTTTCGCAACGCTCATCAGCCAATCAGGAGTGCGTATGCAAATTAACCCAACAAAGATGACAGGTTAATTTGCATGCGCAGGTGCCCAGCTGCTGGGGGCTGGGGGCGTTAAGCACCGCCCCCGCTGCTCTGGGCCTCTGGGCAGTGTGGGAAGGTGGAAAGGCGGCTCCGGTCAGAGCAAAGGCGGTGCCGGCAGCCAGGGGAAGGAAGGCCCATTCTTGCACGAATCTTCGTGCATCAGGCGCCTCTAGTCTTTTATGATTTTTTAAGCATAAAAATCTTTGTGGTTTACAGTAATTTATGAAAAAAATTCTGATCTTCTTATTTCCAACAAGTAAATTCCCCATGTCTTCCCTCTTTTCTTGAAAATTTTACTACAAACCTCTGCTCCCTCAAACTTAGAAGCTATAAATTGAAAATACAACCCCCCCCCCCCCACACACACACACTTTCTTCTAAAACCCACTTCCAGCTTTTTACCAAAAATTTTCAGCAAAATGCTCCTGGGATAATTGTGCTTCGTTTCAGTTACTAAGTCAGTCAGTTGCATCCATAGCTTAGTAGGAATTATAATATAAATGTTCTTGTGATTATTGTGCTGTGCAAAAGCAGGCAGTTTACCCCTGCAAGTGTGAGTCAGTGTCTGAAAGACACTTTGAAAACTGCATGAGTGTTTAAGTATCAGTATTACTGGCAAGAAGAAGTAAAAGAGGCATTTTGTTTCAATGGCAAAATTTATAAAATATAATTGAAGAGTGATTATTATCTGAGAATATTCCAGCTGGCAGGGATCTTAGAGATCTCTATTTCGACTTCCTCATTTGCTTCAGGAAAACACACAACTAATCGTCTTAAAACAGAAAGATCAGGTTCCTACCCTAAGGTTAATTTTTATTAGTATAGACACAAGACACAAGATTTTTAAAATTTAAATATTCAGATATACTTAATACATTACTTCTGTGCATGTGTGTGTGTGTTTCTGATTAATTTCCTATTCTAACACACACATTACTCCCTTCAAAACTCCTTTGGCATCTTTGATAATGCAGCTGTCTTGCTGAATACTGTTTTCAGTTTCTAGAGTGTTAATTGCACATTATGGTAGCTTGGTGTGAATGATCCCACATGAATAAAATCTGCAGTCTTTTCTTTTTTTAAAGATTTTGGGGGGAGGGAATAACAGGGAGAGGGGGAGTTGAAAAACTTCAAAAGTGTCCACTCTGTTTTTGAGGCAGTAATTGGAATCCAAAAAGCTCCATATTAATAGTTCATAATTTAGGAGCATTTCAGGACTTCCAATTACAAAATTCAAAATAAACCATTGCACCTCACAAAAGGAAATGGACTGATTTTAGAGACAGACTTTTCTACAAAGAACTGGATTAAGAGGCAGCTAGGAGAGCAACAGTCACAACCTATAGAAGACGCTAACACATCACAGGCAGCGTACAGAGTGTGCAAATTTCCTAGTAGCCCAAGAGGCATGTCCCAGTAGTGACAGAGGGCAGCTGCGCTCACTTCCGAAGGACAGCTGACCTCAGTGCTGCTGCAGTGGGTATGCACACCCTCCACTAATGGCCTTTCTTTTCCTTCCTTTTCCCCACGTAGGACTCAGGCTGTTCTGTAAGTAAATGCTGCAAATGCATAAATATTTAGGGATTTTATTTAAGAAAATGTAGTCAACCTGGGGATCCCAAATGTCTTCCTCAGGTCTTACATCCATGAGTCCTACCTGCACAGTTATTCCTCTTTGTTTTTCAAATCCTCTAGAAATCTGAGTGTGCATCCCAGTACATGCCAGCTTGATACACAGGTATCTTATAAATGGTTTCATGCTATTCTAGTCAATGGCATTTTTATGGCACTGGAATTTCTCGTGATTTATATGTTTTGCACTTATGCAGGTGATGTGGGGCTGTAATGACAGCTCCTAATTTTACAACCAACATAAATATGTTAAACAGGAGCCCATTATGTCCCTGGTAGAAGACCAGATCTGACTCCAGCATTATTGGTAACTGACTAGACATTAAAAATGTACTTCTTATCTTGTACTTTTTATCCTATCGCATTTGGCTTTTTGAGATCAAGACAATAATCTGACAACTCAGAAAGGGCGAAAATAAAGCTATTTTGTTTCCCCAAGTTACCATCATTGTGGCTCTATAGTACCATTAACGGATAAACAAAACTAAAGAGGCATCTTCCTTAGTAGGTCCGTCATCCTCAGAAAATGAACACATGGCCTATGACGCTCTCTCAGGTCCTTGGGTTCTGGAAGTTCAGTTACTGACACCATTTGCTAGTCCAAACAGAATGCGCATTTATGCCTGCTGAATAGGTCACTGTTCCCTCTGACCGAATGATACATTTCATTTATTTGTTTGTCCAATTAAAATAATACTACTTTTTGAAATGTAAAGGGCACTAACTAAATTAACCAAAAAGAACATACACAGGGCATTGCTAAGTAAATGGAATATGTAACCGCCTGTCTGTGAAGATTATGTCTCTACCTACTGATAGTGAGCTGTGAGAGTTTCAGAAGTTGAACAGCTTGTACAAACTATTAAAAGAAAAAAAACAATCAAACTATAGTCATATAGTAATTCAACTTCAAACTCAATTCAGCATTTACTGAGTACCTAGTTGATATTTAAAATTGCTACTTGCCATTATTTATTATAAAACAAAACAAAACAAAAATAGCCCAAAAGAAAATTTTAAGCCATGTAAAAGTAACCTGGACCCAGCATATCATTATCAACAAATACCACAATATTATTTCACGTTTTGCGATGGTTAAAAAGAAAACACCTAGATGTTTAGAATATTTTAAATAGAAGAGATATATAAAAGGAAGGATTCTTAAAAATCAACTAAAGAAACGCAGCTGTCTCAGAAATCTCAAATGATCTGATGAATCATTAGGGCAGTGCCTTGGCCTTTCTCCCACAGAAAAAGTGGAAGCCACAGAAGGAAACCACACCTAAACATGTATGTGAAAAATTAGTTTTGTCCCTCAACAATGTTGGCCACAATCTAGACTCTTCCGCATAGTTAGGACTGGACTCATCTGCATAGTTAGGACTGAACTCTTCTGCATAGCCTTGTGAGGCAGTCTTTGAGAATTAATTCAGGGCAGTGAAAGACAACCCCCCTTTTGGGAAACAGACCCCACCCCCCCAGTCATACTCCTAACCAGTGCTGTCACCTTTGGGGAGGCACAAAAGCCAGGAAGGCTGAGGATTAGCGCTCAGTGGGAGTTTGACCTATTCAGCCAAAAGGTCAGCTTGCCACGGAAGAACCCATTACAAAACAGAAACAGGACAGCTCAGTGGACACACATAAATAATGAAAGGGGGAAAAGTCAGGAGCCCTGCTTGACTTGAGTCTTGTGCTGCCCTTTTCCTTCATAGCCCTCCCCACCCCCATTTCCAGAGAGCGGAGCTGCCCCAGCTCCTCACCAACACACTCCCCAAGGGCAGGGAGAGAGAAAGGCGCCTTGTGCTGCCCTTTTCCTTCATAGCCCTCCCCACCCCTATTTCCAGAGGGCGGAGCTGCCCCAGCTCCTCACCAACACAGCTCCCCAAGGGCAGGGAGAGAGAAAGGCGTTGTCATTTAAGGGACCTCTTGAAACAGATATTTAAAAGGGAAGCTGAGCATGATATTGTGAGGATTTCTAATGGATTATTTTATTAGGAAAAGTAGCTATTGGCAGATAGGGAAGACTGTTTTAGAGTTTTAGAGACTTTTTATTGTCCAGTCCCCCTCCATGGGGAACAACAACATGTCAGCATAGGCAAAAGTAGCCGTAAAGGTCTGCAGGTAGTATTTCAAGTGTATCCACCAGTAAAGAGGCGAGCTTCAGCCAGGATGGCTACCCTCCCAGTCTGTCAGCTGGGGAAAGGCTCTGTTCCCTCAGGAAGCTTGTGGAAGGGGGCATGCTTAACAGAATCGCAGCCATCACTCCCTGGGTTTCAGCATTGGGCTAAGCAAAGTCAGGGGCTGGGAAGGAGTGGAGAATAGAATGCTTAATGAGTCTTTTCCGAAGAAA